TTTTTTTTTTTAAAAAAAAAAAAAAAAAAAAAAAAAAAAAACAACCCGACAAAGCTTTGTAGCTATTTCATTGATAGACCAATTGTACGTTCACATATTTTTCAATCTTTTGGTCACTTTATTTGATTATTAATCTTTTTAACTAATGTTTTTTTAGTTAAAAAGTTGAAATTAGACTTTTAATTAATTTATAACTTAATTTGCAAGTTAGTTCAACTCGAACATTTTCAAGATACCCCAAATAACCAACAAATGGCAAAGTGATATATATATGTTCTGTCAAACAAATTGAAACATCCATCATACATCCATACAGGCGATCGCCATCAACACCATCATCATCATCATATACATATACATGACATTATATAAAAAGGAAATTTAATAATTAGAGAAGAGTGGGAGAGATATCAAATGGAAAAGGATTCCCCAAGACGGAGTCCATGTAATACTGAGGATGATGATGAGCAGCATCCATCACCACAAACTGCATGTCTTCAGATGGCTTCCAGTGTCTTTTTCTCTGGTTGATGAACCAGTTGTTGATTTGCTTTTGGTCTAACCCAGTTGATTCAGCTAAAGCTACCTTCTGTGATTCCTGTGACAAACAGCATTCCAATCCCATTTGTGAATCTATATAATCTAGAATATTATATGTATAATCTATATAGTGTATGTTATCAAAACCAGAACATACGGATGGATAAGGCCATTTGTAATGTCTGCTCCACCAATCCAGGAGCTGTTGCCTGGCCTCCTTTGGTAGCTTCCCTTTCTTCCGTTTCTTCATGAATTCTTGCTTCAGACTGCCCAAGTATCTGCTGTATTTTCGGAGGAGTTGACCTTTCAGTTCATGGTCTTCCGCCCAGGGGTCAATCGACTGCCCATTCATATCAACTTCCTCTTCAGATGATCCGTTCCTATCAAATGCCTCACCGCAACCTAAGTGGCGTGTGCAAAAAATGTGTCAAGCGAACAACAAAACATTACAACATGGAGCCACACATTATACTAATTCTACAATAACTTTACGTGATAAAAATGAATCAAGTATTTATAGTTTCGGATTGTTGCAAGGGAGTAAGGAATACATTTCCATTTGTATGAGCCTTTTTGAAAAACTAAAAACAAAGTCACTCGAGTTAATGCTCAACGTGGACAATATCATACCATTGTGGAGACTCGTGGTTCCTAACCCAGTAAGACAAAGGGCGGGCAAGAGTTGAAACATTACGCTGAAATAAGACTTTTTTTCTTTCTTTTTGGCAGCTTTTCAAGGATTTGTGCAATAAAAGTAGTAGAAGAAAAAAAAAATGATCCGGTATTTCCAAAGCAACTTAATGACACATGTTCATCAATGCAAACTCAAAAACCAATGACAGGATAAATTGTTCGATGAGACCGCTACAATGTGACAAACAGTTCATCATCATCATTGTACGTAGAAATAGAATCACCGCATGCAAATTATTGAAATCATGATCAATGATCATTAAGAGACAGATATCTTAGATATTTAAATCGACACAAAAACAAGAGAGGTTAAATGTTTCATTCGAAACTCGAACATCGGGATTCTCACTTCGATTATGAAAACAATACTGAGAGCATCCCATTTGAAGGAAGAAAAAGATGAACTATATGAAAATGTATTGAAGATATGGGGTATTAAAGACGATGAATTCATAAGTTTCATCTCAACTTCCCAATGGCATGTAATAGAAGATCTCAACCAACCTTACACACATAGATTCATGCATTTCTACAAACTTCATTTCTTTTTGGTTGAAAATATTGAATTTCCTTTCAAATATGTTCTTATTAATTTAGTTTTCAAAATCATTTGTGTCAAATTCCACATCGATTCTAACCTTCCTTATAAAAGTGTGAAAACCTATTCCTAGCAAATGCGATTCAAAACCTTGAGCAGAAGTCTAAAAGAAAAAATCTAAAGAAGACAATATCTATAACCACCTTTTAAAACTCATCTGTGAAGCCTTCTTTGACCGACGAGGTTTAGATATAAACCCTAAGAACAATATATCTTCAAACTAGAGACTATGCAAATCAAAGGATTCATAGATGCCCTAGCCACAAAGAAAGTGCCCAAAAATAATAAAATATTATAATGAAAAAAAGCAGAAAAATTGGGCAAATGGAAAGGGAAAAAAAAAAAAAAAGACAGTGAGAATAAACTAATTATAAACCAAGCAACGTGAAATGCAGAACCTAAGAAAAAAAAAAGATGATTAAATAAAAAAGGGTAATTGTTAGTAAGAAATCACCAGCATCGGAGGAGGAGGAGATAGAGAGAGCTTTGAATTGGCACTCAATTCGTTGAAGAAAAAGCATGGCATCCCTAAAGGGTTTAGAAAGTTCTTGTTCATATTTGGTGAGCATCTCACAGTAAGCCTCCATGAACTGGTCAAGCCCCGGATCTTGTCCAATACAAGACGTACCACTCATTGTTGCTGCAGAAGCACACGCTTGTTCAAGCCTCGCCACCACTTCCGGCGGCGCCCCCACCTGCCAAAAAGCTTCAGATCTCAGCCTATGCTCCCGGGTCCTAAATAGAATAACATTTAGTATCATTATTACCTTCCGGCAATTGACATAGGCAACAAGGAGGCGATGGTAGTGGGGATGACCCATGATTTTGGCCTTCAATTCACAACAGGAATTACCATTACTACCCTCGTTGATGTTGATGTTGCTGTTGGTTTCACCCAAGAAGTAAGAAATTGAATTAGAAGTGTTATTGTTGGTGTAATTAGGCGGCGGCGGAGGAGGAGGAAGAAACGAGCTACATGCATCTCCCTGGTGATGTTGTTGTTGATGAGAGGAGGACATCAAGGGCATCATCATCATCATGGAACTAAACCCATTATGACTGTTTTGATCAACAAAATTCATCATACCTCCACCTGAAGAACTCCCACTTGGACCATCCATTGATAACAACAACAACGAACAAAATCCGTGCGTCTCTCTCCTAATAAACCCAGTTTTGTTTTTAGACTCCCGGGATTTTAGCTTCGAAAAGTTCAGGCTTTTGGGTTCTTTTAAGAAAGATCCGAGTTGTTCATCAATGAAACTGGAAAAGCCTGGCGTTGGAGGTATTGGTTTAAATGTATCAAACAGATTAAAGTCCCCACCTTTAGTGTTTTTTCCTCTTCTTCTTCGGTGGGTTGCGTTTGTTTCAAGTTTTTGAGAGAGCGAAGGAGATGGGTTAAGAGGATAGTGGCAAAGCTTCAATTTTTTTTCGTTGGGTCTTTTTTTTTTACCTTCCCGATGAAAACTCTCGTCGTCCTCTTTTGTTGTTGCAGTGGCACTGATGAGGCACTGCCATTACTGCCAAAAAGAATGAGAGAGAGAGAGAGAGAGAGAGAGAGAGGGAAACGACGGAATCGAGGAGAGGGCAGTGCAGGGCAGAGCAGGGCGGAGAGATGGAAAACCAAGGCAGCGATGGGGGATGGAGGGAGTGAGAAAGGGGGGGAAAATAAAGGTGGTAATAGAGTAGGTGGGACACTCCAAATGTCGCTTCTTATCTTTCACCCTTCTTAGCTCTACCTCCTAATCTCTCTCTCTCTCTCAAACAGTGACCATTAAATGCTCTAACCTTTTGTTCCCTTTTTTTTTAATTTATAAACTTTATATTGGTTTAAATTATAACTAATTTAATAATCAACCAAGACTTTTCATTCCTGATTTTGTAATAATATGTTCAACTCTTTTCTTTATTTATTAACAATTTTAAAATGAACAGATAATGAATCACCTCAATTAAATTGATTCTTCCAATTCTATTATTTCACGGTCAAACCTTACTGCTCCATGAAATGACGTAAATACGGATATTTGAAATTTCTAATAAAAATCATTTTAAGTGTATCCCATTAAATTTCAATTTAAATAGGATGCTAACACACAATTAGAGATAAATATTATAATCAATTTTAGATGATCAACGGTTTAAAAATATTATAATCAATATTTCAACGTCTAAACTTTTAGATTAAATGGTAATTTAACATAATAACAAAAGATGAAAAATGAGGCTTCAAATTTTTAGGTGATTCATAATTTAACGGGACAATTCAACTACTCGAAAGTAAACAAAAAAAGAAAAAAATTGATTAAAAGGAAACTCATCAAAATTGGAAAGCATTCTCAAAGGTACAAATAAATTGTCAAAATTATTACCACCTTAAAGTTAAAGGCTTGGCTGTGCTTGTGTTATGATTGTGAAATTTAACCCTCCGGCATTGATATATATATATATATAATGTGTACCAACAAGCAAACATAGGATGAATCGAATAAAACATATTCCTCCTCTCACGCACATATGAAAATATTTGACACAAAACTACTCAACATCTCATGTTCATCCAAGCTCCCAACTTCAACTATCATCATGTCTACTCATTTCCGCTCCATTGTCTCCTTTCAAATTTTCATTTTAACGAGCATTCGTGTCGATCATTCATTGCTTTGTCGATAAAAAAGAGATAAAAAAATCTCTTTTTTAATTTGACTGGAATCCTACTTCATTCTTAAGATAACTTCTCATTTTATAAATTGCGTCGTAACTTATCCGATAGAAACTATTTTAAACGCGTGATGAGCATTTAAGTTAGATAAAATGTCATATATTTACTAACATCATTCAAATTCCACTAATGATTCTATGACATATACACGACTCATCTAACGATCTATTGACAACTTGATTGGCATCACAATTCCTTTCCGAGATAACTTTTCATCTCACGAACGACAATGTTTCTATGGTCGTTGAAATTTCCAACTCTATGCATAAAAGCTTGTATGTTAGTCACGCTTTTGAACGTTTCTCGAGAGCGTTGGGTGCAAAACACTCTATGTATCGACTCTTTTATATTTCATAAACCATTCATCCTCCTCGTCACATGTCAAATCATCTAATTATAATTTAGTAAACAATGTTTATAGGAGTTAATTATAATTTAGAAGTATTTGATTAGTATAAACATAAAAAGGGTAATTCTTGTAAACAATGAAACATTTACACAAAATTAGTGAAGGAAATGAATAAAGTAAGGGAATTTGTAAGAAGAGAGGAAGAACAATCAGTTCCCAGTTTTGAAATTGGTTTCTACGAGGGAGACAGAGATAGTTGGGAGAATAATATACGTAAGCAAAAGAAGTACAATGAAAAATGTGCCCTACAAACCTAAATAAATAGATAAATAAATAAGAAATGATTCAGCGTCAGTCCCTTTTGTCTTTCATCGTCAATCTCCAATCTTATCTCCTACAAAGTAGACACCAAATACAAGAAATTGGAATTAGGGTTTTTTAGGGTTTAGGGATAGAATTTGGGAATTAGGGTTTTTTAGGGTTTAGGGCTGGAAGTTGGGAATTAGGGTTATTTAGGGTTTAGGGTTTTGGGGAGAAATAATATATACAGTAAGCGAATCCGACACGAAATGTGGAGCAGGGAGAAAGGGGTTTGGGGTTATTTAGGGTTTAGAGAAAGTGGGTTGGAACCCTACGTTAGGGTTTTTTTTCTTTCTTTTTTTGCTTTGGGTTGGTGATGCACTTTAAGTCATTTCCCTGTACAAGCCCATGATTCGTCTTGCAGACGGCGTGGTATGCGCTCTAAACTCTTCCAATCAACGCCATTGCCGCCACCACCGCCAACCCCAAACACAATCACTATTTACACACCAAATGCTACATGGTTCTCTCGGATTCTCCCTCGGAAAAATGAAAGATTTGTTGTAAACAACTGATGTCTCCATAACAGCTTAATCCCAACGGTTTTCATTTATCGGGTTAACATGATCTTAAAAAATCTCTGAATCCAAATTTTAAGTCTTAAAAAAATTTAACCCGACCCAACAAAAAAAAAAATTCATTTAATTTATTTGATTCTTTTTTCAACTTGGAGATATTTGCTACAAAATACTCATGTTTTAGTACTTATTTAACCACCTTTGATGCGCGTTTGTTTTAGATACAAAATGTTACGGGTTCAAATTCTATCCTTCCTATCTATTACTTGTCTTCTAAACAATAATGAGCAATCAATTAGAACGTATTCGTGGTTGTAGTAAGACAACTCAAACGTTGTAACTTGGTCAACCATCTAAAGTACAATAGATTTCCACCTCTCTTATCCCATCATAAAAAAATAGTGACACATATATATACAAACACATATACATAATATTTAATATGTTTTGAAATAGTTTAAATAAAAATAGAATAGTGAAAAGTTAAAAATTAAAGATAATAACAATAATAAAAAAGAGTTTTAGGCATATAGGGACAAATAACTAATATTCAGAAAGTATGTCTTACTTTAATTTGTTTCAACTTTTGGGTACAAATGGTTTAGTGAATATTTAAAGTTAAGATTTGAGTGCACACTAACCTTCCCTTAAACCAGATATTATTAGTTTATTATTATTAATTTTTAAGGAAATGCAAGCCCCAATTTTTGGTCAATTATTAATTATTTATACCACTTGATTCAACCCATTTCCATTGACCGTACACTTAAGTATAAGAAAATTATTTACTTACCAGTAGGAGTTGACATTATCAAATACAAAAATGGTGCCATATTGCAAATAAAGGATGATCAGTTAGGCGAAACGAATTATTATTTATTTTTTAGTTCAATGGTAATTATTGTCTTGTCTATTGGTTAATGTTCGTATTATTGGCTCATAAAAGATTTTTAGAATAATTTTTCATCCGTCGATTTCTCCTTACTCTTTAGTTTTTGAGGTAATATGGGTTAATACATTCCATTAACATAACACACCATTTAATATCACAATAATACAAAACAATAGTATGTCAATTTTTACTTAAAACTTTGTTTCGCGCATTTTGGAAAGCAATAGAATACCATATGTAGAAGAAGATGATGGTTAAATAATTGGACGAAGACTTGAGAGTTGAGGCATTTGAAGGGCGACAAGTTTGGGGGGAAAAAGAACAAACCAAATGAAAGAGTTGGGCTTCTCTGTGTGCACCACAGAAAAGGCAAAGCCCCCACGTCTCATCATCTTCCATTAACACAAATCATCTTCATCTTATTAATGAATGTCATCACTTGAGAACTGGATGCATATTTGGTTTTTCTCCATGATTAGACTCCCTCCCTCTGTGTTTCCATATGGTGTTGGTGTTGTTTCTTACGGTGAATCAAAAGGGCGGAGGAAAAGGAAATGAATAAATCAGAAATTATTAGGGGATATTTTGGAGGGGTATATTGATTGCTGAAGTGAGTGGCAAGCACATGGCTTCAGGCATATTAGAGGGCCCTTGTTCGACCAAACCCTCCAAACAAAGAAAGAGAGATAAAAGATGGTACCACAAATTGTTCTGTTGGCCGACAACGAAGTGACGCTACTCTAATTAGTGCCACTACCATTGAATTTTTGTGTGGTATTCGGTATTCCTTCGACCCAGTTTTTGTTTTTGCAACTCATCAGAGTATGAACATCTCAAAATCTGTTCTTTTTTCAACAAAGCAGCCTTGTTCTTCCTCTTTGCGACCACGGGAAGGAAACCAACCAATACTAACTAAGTTTTATTGAAATGGAGAGTTTAAAGTTGCATAAAATAGGCGAATTTCGAAGAAAGATTGAACGTACAAGAAATCCCACAAAATGCAGTTCATATTTTCAAGGCACCCTCTGGGCCAGACAGACACATTAATGAAAAAGCGGTAGTGGGGATGGTGGCAAAATAAAATGTCTTATCATGGATGTCGCATCAGTCAACCTACGCTGAGCCGAGGATGGTGGCAATGTTTCATCTACAGGAGGATTGAATAATGGACTCAAACTCCTCAAGCCCCTTTCCCTCGCACCGTTTCTTGTTTCGTTAGTTCATGCAAGATAATCCCCACCATGAACAAGCGATGGACGCTGAAATTCAATTCTTAAACTCTGCTAAGAATTTCTTTAGTTCAGGCAAGAAATTGAAGATGGGTAGTTGAACTTGCACCCGTGGGGGAAAGAAGAAATTCCTGACGGGAGGGGAAGTCTCTCACAAAAGCTGGAAAGAGACTGTTAATAACTATAAATTAGGTGCGCAAAAATAACAGGTTCTCCGCTTGATCACTCGAGTTAGTGGAAAATGTTGGAATCTGATCCAAGTACAACTGGTTGTTGGCACCTCACTTTTAGCTTTTCAAAACTCTCCCCTTTCTACCCTAAAGCTGGTGGTTCTGGAAAAAAGCCGAAAATGGAAGAGCCGACAGGCGGAACCAAACCGATCAAGTGCAGTGAGGACCAGAAACATCAAAAATATGGAAGATATGCAGCAGGGTCCTCGTCCGACGAGCTTCTGATCGGGAATTCCGATGCCCCTCCACATTCAGAGGCTGAAACTTCCCATATTTCCACAGGTGAAGATTCGGGAAGCTCCGGCGAGGAAACACGGTTGTCCGGCCTGGCAGAGAGCCTGCAGATCTTAACAAAGTCGCTGCTGACAGCGGAAATGGAGATTTTCAAGGCGAGGGAGGCCATCCGCCTTGAGGAGGAAAAGAGGAGGTTGGAATCGGAGGCCGAGATGACTCGCATGCTGCTCCAGTGTCAGATGCAGATCGCCTCGTTTCTGTCAGCCAGGCAGGGTCCCAACAACCGGAAAAGAAAGAGGGTTCAGGAAGAAGAACCATCTCCCTCGGTCTCCTTAGAAAGGTAGAATAGGATCTTCAGCCTTCGTTAAGTAATCAGCAACAACTAATAACTGATATATGAATCTGATATTGTTGATTGATGCAGGGACGGAGCTCTGCTGCTAAGTCTAATTCAACTCAACATGATCACCTTTTGAAGCTGCTATGCTATGGTTTGGACGGGAAGCGTAAGAGTGCTTGTATTATGAGGGTACAAGTGTAACTGTATCGATCAACAAAGCGTGATATTGATCGAATTACTGAATATTTTTCCATTTCTATCTCAATCCTATAAGTCATGACTAATTCATTGGCATATTAAAAGTTCAACAAAAAAGAAAAATCATGTCAAGCTTACTAGCTAGCTGAGTCGATTTAGATAATCAAGCGAATTGGGTTTTCTTTGTGCGGATGTTGGAGTCCTTGATTTTATGGTCGTCAACAGTTTGCAAAGCCTTGCGCCTGCTCATAGCGCACTCGATATATTCTTGAAGGGGTGGAAGTATTCCATGTTCTCCAGTTTTGGATACTTTCCCTCGAAGTATCTGTATAAAGAAACCCAGAAAGAGAAGTTATAGCCACCACATAGAAACTCTACGCATTAATGATAGATGAAATAAAGGACGGGTAGTTTGCCTTTGATGCCCAGGACCGCTCGGCTTGCTGACAAATATCCCTGATGTCCCTTCCAGACATTCTGAAAATACATGCGAAGTGAAGCAAGGAGAATGTAGATTTAGAGATTTATTACAACTACAGCTCTAGAAACAAAGAAGTCGACAAAACTAACTATTCTAGTCAGGGAGGCTTGTATTGTACGTGGTCCATCAGCAGAATAGCAGACATATAAAAACAATAACAAGACTACCAAAAGAAATCAAATATAGTCTCGGGCCTACGATTAGCTAACCCTTCTGTATTCTTTGCAAACTCGTTCAGTTCAGGTTTCGTTAGCTGCTTTGCGTACTGAGCTGCTATTTCCTGACGGTTCCGCTCATCAGGTAAGCCAAATGTGATCATCAAGTCAAACCGACTAAACGAAAATTCAGGAAAAGAAATTAGTTCAGAAACCCAGCAAGCAAGCGCTCGGTTGTGTGGTGTGTGCTCTTTTTTTTTTTTTTTTTTTTAGTTTCATATATTAACGTTATTTGATGCAAAATCAGAGCCGATAAATTTAAAAATGTATAGATCTGCATACCTAATTAAAGCAGGATCAAGGTCCTGCTTTCTATTCGTGGCAGCAATTACAACCACTTTTCTGTCTTGTTCAAATCCATCAATCTACACAAGAAATGTAAATTAAACTAAGTTGCTCAAGAAGCAAGATATGTTGATACGTTTATCACGTAAATGACGCATGCAATTCCAATTGATTGCCATCCAAACTAGCCTCTTGGCTTGCATGCAAATGTTTTTTAGTCAAACATTAATACAGTTAATTCACTGATGCGCGGCGGAAGGCACATGACCTTTGGAGTTATGGATTCATGTAAAATTCATCTTTACCTGACGCAATAACACTGATAATACTCTTCGAGTAGCTTCATGCATTTCACTGTCACGAGCAATTGCAAAAGAATCAACCTGCAGTTGGAAAAGAAACAGGGGGAAATCATAAATTGTACAATCTAAAAAATACGTAAATTGTAAATAATAATAAAAATAAAAGATAAATTGATTTTCATTAGAAAAAAAAAAACAGCTGATGATCTGGCGATAACCAAGCCTTTTACCTCGTCTAGGAAAATGATAGCACCGGTACTAAGTTCATTAGCAAGTGAAAACACTTGCCCCAAGAGACGTTCGCTTTCACCGTAGTATTTTGACATGATAACCTCAAGTGGTACGTACACCAAGGGGACGCCCTGACACAAAACGTGAGGGTACAAAATTTGAGGTTCCCTCCATCCATCACATACTTAATTCACGAGATCAGCAGCTTATATATGAGGTCCAAGACCATTTTGCGTGATTGGAATAGAAAACTCTACGTTGCAAAGCAAGCAGACATAATTTCCTAGGAATAACTAAAATTAGATAACATGCAGAACATATTTAAGTACCTGCTGAGCCAAAGTGCAACATGACGACAAAATTTTAAGCTACAACTTACTTTTTCGTGAGTTGAAAGTATATAGTGTTGCCAGTTGGTTAAGGGATCTCACCCCCAAAGCCACCAGCAAAGGAAACAAATTTATTGAGTTCTCAATCAACCAACCCTCTTTGTTTTTTTTGGTCCGATTTCATTTACGATCAATCATGAGTACAAATAATAAGTGTTAAGGATATTTAGTAATAAATTATAGTTTACCATATATATTATATTTGATATTTTATTATAAGGCAAATATTAGATATTTGCCTTATTATCATAGGTATCTTTCCATTTATTGTTATTTCCATTTATTACTATTTCCATATCCTTGTAATTTATTTGATTATAAATAAGATAACTTTCACACCATTTAGGTGTGGTGGATTAATCAAACATTCACATGGTATCAGAGCCCTCTCGGTTTAACAACCTCGATCCTTTCTTTTCAATGGCTTTTGAATCCTCTAATCTTCTTCTCCACCACCCCTGCTGGTTTTGACGCCGCAGGGGCAGTCTTCATGGCTGCCGTAGTCGGAGCCAATTGATTACTCTTCGGTTCCACCCTATTGACCTCCAAATCACTTTTTGTCATACTCTGTACATACAACCTCACCTTTTCCAACCCAATCGGTTTTCCCCTTGGCCAATATAGTCTCTCTCATTTTCTTCCCAATCAACCTTCATCCTTCACATAAACCCTAACCAAAACCTATCAACCTTTTGCAGAGATTTACCTTCGGAATCTGGGTGCCGCACTGGCCTATTTGCCAACCAAGTTGCCGCCGCCCTTCCTACCAAAATTGGCTTCTTCGCCCGATGAGGCGACTCTTCCGACTGCCCTTCTCGCCAAAATTGGCTCCTTCGCCCAATGTGGTGACTCTTCCGGCTTCAACATTATCTTTGTCCCTTGCTCTAGGTTTCCCCTTCTACTTCTTGGGGTTAGAAATATTCTCATCAGAGCCAAGACAGCATCGTCGCTAAGCGACAATCCCTCTTCATGGGTTAGACATATTCTCGCCGAAGCCAAGGCAGCATCGCCGCTGAGCGGCGATCCCTTTGCAATTTTTGATGGCCAGAACCGGGTTGTTAGCATCTTCATAAAAAGTGTTTCTCAACCTCTTTGAATTTTTCAGATTCAAGCTTCACGTTCGTTTAAATCCGACGCTTAGCTTGCGGTGGGGTGTTAAGGATATTTAGTAATAAATTATAGTTTACCATATATATTATATTTGATATTTTATTATAAGGCAAATATTAGATATTTGCCTTATTATCATAGGTATCTTTCCATTTATTGTTATTTCCATTTATTACTATTTCCATATCCTTGTAATTTATTTGATTATAAATAAGATAACTTTCACACCATTTAGGTGTGGTGGATTAATCAAACATTCACAATAAGCATATAATGACTTACGGCTTGATTTGCAATTACACGAGCAGAAGATGTTTTTCCTGTACCTGAACATAAGATGCTACAAGTAAGCATCGCTAACAACTTATCCAATCTTTATAAGCTACAAAGGAAAAATACAACTACAGGAATCTCACAACTCTGCTGAATCTCCATGACAATGGCAGGCAAGGTTTAAACTACAGTGTAGAATTTGTTCAAAAACCAAGTACTAGAAAATTTTGTATAAGGAGCCTCAAGAAGAGATTCAGAAGTAGATAATTGTATTCTACTAATGTAGCACGTGTCACCCTATTTTAAGAGCAGCAAATCCTTTTTTTACTTGGGTGTCAGGAAAGATAAGTAAATTAATCCGGGGTGGACTTGGTCGGAAAAAGACAAGTGGGGTCACAGAGAGAGGGGATTCGAGATAATATCATGGAACAAAATGAAAATACTAAAGCACTTGTGATGTTCTCCCTATTAAGATTTGGAAGAACTGTATTTCGCTAGTGAAAATTGAAAATTGAAATGTCTTCTTAATTCTGATTGAAGGGAAAATAAAGAGCGGAAGAATTGAAATTATATAAATTGCTTCTTTTCCTTAAAAAAACTAACATTCTGGAGAATTGAAATAACTTCAAATGGTAAAGAAAACAAAATGAAATAAGAGTAAAACATTGAAAGTTTCATAAAGTTGTATAGTTCATTCTTATTCTCTCGTATTTCTAACTATGGCCAGCTGCCCTGGTAGGACAGAGAAGATGAAAGTTTGAGCACACGAAAGACAGGCTAAGATAAGGAATATGATAACCTAACAAAGAAGATCTATTTCCTGAAATATTATTCATGTTCACAGGAAAGCGAGAGTTTGAGTGAATGAAAAACGGGCTAGGATAAGGAATATGCATAACCTAGTAATCCTGAAATATTATTCATATCCACAGACATTCTCAATTCAGTAACCTACCTGGAGGCCCTTCAAAGAGAACAGCCCGAGGTCTATTTGATTCAAACTTGCGCCGAGTCCCATGAGCAATCTCATCAAATAATTCTGGATTATGCAGAGTCAGCAGTATCGTGTCTTCTATTTCACTACAATAAGATTATGAGCCAACGAAATGACGAAAACTTTATTTTTGCTAACAAATGTAGAGGATCTATATCTACAAACAATCAACATGAAGCAGAGACCATAGATTATATCATCTTTAATGAAACCTTCACGATTTCATAGACATCAGAAAATAATAAAAGGAAACGGATAAGAAGCATAGCAGACTATCCTCTTGGCCAAGAGGATGGAGATTATCTTTTTTGGTTGCTCCAATTCGTTGGAAGTGTTTGTTCAAGCTTCTTACTCTCTTCAATTACACTGTATTTTATCAAATGTGTTATAGGATAATGTTCTTCAGCTGGTTGTTGGTTGTTTTTTGGCTTCAAAACTGAAGTTATGATGGTTAAATATGATCAAAGCTCTATTATCAGCATCGTGGATGGAGACAAATCAAAGAATTTTTTAAGACAAGCATTTCCTTTGGTTTGATTCTGTACGCTTAAAGGCTTCCTCATGGTGTTCTCTTCCCAAGCCTTCTACGATTTTTTATTGTCTGACATTTGTTTAAATTGCAATGCCTTTATTTTTCCTAGGTAATTGTATAATTTTTGCTTTTCTTATTCACTCCCTTGTGAAGTTTGGAACTTTTGAGCATTAGCCTTCTTTTATTATTATAATGAATTTTTTTGTCTCGTATTAATAATTATAAGAAAAAAAAAAAAAGAAGAAGAAGAAGAAGAAGAAGAAGAAGCATTACAGACTAATCTT